AGACATTGACAGCTCTTCTTAAACCTACAGAACCCATCATACAACTGGTACACATGGATTAGAACTAAATAATGCTTTTAGAGTCAGTTTATTCCACTTGTTTATTTTTATCTTTAAAATGTCAGCATGCAGGGTCTGAAACCAGCTGTCTGCAGGTTATTAGTCGGCTGCTCTAAACTCAGGTGTTTGTCCCACCCACATTATCCCCCTAATATTTCCAGCTGTCATGGTTACTGGTACAATACTGGGCTGAAGATTTTTAGATTCCTGTAATTGTGTGTATGATTTCCCAATATTATACGTGCTGGATTTGAAGGAATCAATTAAAATATATCTTGTTCATTTAAACAGTTCCCACAATCACCCACTAAAATCGAGGTCCTGAATGAATAAAGTTAAGGTATACTATTGGAACCACAAAATAAATTAAAAAAATAAAGTTGGATCGGTGCCTCTGCATCATCTGTCTAACAGCACTGCCGTTGGGTTATAAGGACATCACTTCACAGTTCAAAAGACCTTCAGAAATAACAACAGATTCAGTTAACTGACCTGAGTGTCTCCAGTCTGCAGTTTGGATGCCCCAGACTAGCAAACAGTGCCTCTTCTGAATCCCGCAGCTTGATTGAACTCAGCTGCAGCGCTCTCAGATTGGAGTTGTTGCATATCAGAGCTGAGGTCACAGTTTTACAGTGATTCTCTGAGAGCCAAACATCATGAAGTCTGTGTTGACATATGTGTTAGAAAATATGTTATTATGAAGAGGACACATTATATTTACTTCATACACTTAATGAAAAACAACTGGACACTTTGTCGTCACATCAGTGTTTCAATTGATCTGAATGTTTGACATGAAAAATTATTTATTCTCAGTCTCTGTCAGACCCACCGATTTTTAATCTTTCTTTAGATTTAATATGCAAGCCAGGGAGAGAAAAGAGGGACAGTATTCAGGAATAAGCATGGCATAAATTATTTATCATAAGTCTGGTTTTACTTCACAACCTAAAACCTGGTAAATAGTTTGAAGTTTGCACTTTTGGCACAATTTGAATGGAGACTCGGCAAGGCTGCATCATGCTGCTACATTGTCTTCCATCTGTCGTGTGATTTGGATGTGCAGATGCATTCGTCGACTATTACGTGTTAGTCTCTTTCGCATATGATCGGTGGTTTATGGCCGCTCGTAGTGATGTTGTCAAGATTTATTAAATAGATGATGTTGTTGGATAAGATAAAAGGTCTATATATCTATGACTTTACTCAGATTTCACAGAGTGTATATTTGTTAGTAATTTGATTTGAATTATTTTGGATGAGGATAAAGTGTAAGATAATGGGGAATTTCAGTTTTTACTTTACAATTTTGTTTAGTGTAATGTTTACAGTTAAGTTGTATTTTCTTTCCTTATTTCGTTTTTATGTTCTGTTCCTTTAATACATCGTAATTGTGCACAGGGGGAGTGGTCACAATCGGCACTGTGGACTAACGGGGCTTTAACTAGCTGTGGAGTCAAACAGTTTTCTTACCATGTTTGGCAGTGTGCAGAACATTCAGACATATGACAATATGAGAGCATG